ACTGACAGCTAGATACTAAGTAAATGAAATCAGCACATTCATTGCTTTGTGCTATAAAGCTGAATGGCAAATAACAGAAAAATCTTGACCTTTAAACATTTTGTTTAAAGCTGTGTCTGCTAAAATGTTGGCAGATCTTAGCCAGAATTTTCACAGTATAATCACATTGTTTATTTCAGAGAAGCCTTGTAACTATTCCTCATCCTGCAGTCCTCAAACTTGGGACAGACACATGTGATAGATGTGTAACTTCACTTTAAAAAAAAGCTTGAAACTTACTTGTTTTTACTCTAAATAAAGAGCCGCATTTGGGAAAAGTACTGAATGTCTAAAGCACTTTGGACTTGGCACATATGCACTAAGTAAAACAGGAAAAATGAGATTTTTTCAGTCTTCATTTTCCAACTTCCCTCCCTGAAGCCAAGAGCATTGTTGAGACCTTTCAGGCAATACAGGAGCTGTGATTATGTAGTTACATACTTCCAGCTCCTTCACAAATGCCAGTTTTGATGCTCCTCCTCACCTCAAGCTACACAAAAAGTAGCACCAGACTTCCTGCCTGATTTAACTGAGTGGAACAGAAAGATTAGAGGGGGAAAAAAGCAAGTGAGGCAAAATACACTGAACTTCTGTTAAAGATTACACCTCTAGGCAGAGCAGGGATTGTGTAATTCAAAGCAGCACTGGCTTGGGCAGCTCTCTTGGCAGGGTCTGGGCACCTGCTGCCTGAGCAGAGGTGACTGCAACAGGTCATGCAGAGCTCTGCTCAGGCAGGGGCACAAGGGATGATGTTTGACCCAACAAACAGTTTACTCTGCATGTTTTCCTTGGAGCTGTTCTACCAAGACAATGCTAAGGTAAGAACCATGAAGGAACACCATGTTTAGTTGAACTGTAAAAGTGAGGAGGGAGTGAAACAAAGGCTGGACATGGTCAGTGAGGTGAAAGCCAAGACTCAGAGCTGCCAACTCAGCAGCTCCCACCCCAGGGAAGGCTGCCCTAGGCACTTGGTATTTTCATCCTCTTTAGGGAGTGTTGCAACTGCAACTTAGTCTGTAAACAGCATCTCCCATGGGTCTCCTTCCTCAAAAACTCTGATAACATATATGCACAAGGTCAAACATAGATTCCCAAGGCTTAAGTGTGGAAAACAGACAATATTTCAGGTTCTCAGCTGTTTGTTTGGAGAAAAGTGTATACACTTGTGTGTCAGTCCTGAAGCACCAATCACAGAGAAAAGGGAGTTACTGCACTGAAAAGAAAAATCTATTCAAAAATAACTAAGTTCCCAATACTGCTCAAAGTTTTAAAATGGAGAAACCTGAGAGGAATGAGCAAAGAATAAATGCTGAAATTTACAGACAGCAAATCTATATAAAGTTTTCCTGTGATTTATCACGTTATGAAATAGGAAATGAAGTTTTTCTCCTGACTTGGTCCATTAGAGTTTGCATCAGAGAATCATTGGATCTAACTTTGACTACAGCAACCAAGCAAAATGCCTTTTATAACCTTGTAATGATCTGAATGAAATGGATTAAGATCAAGGTAAGTATTTTTGAGGTTCTCAAGACACTATGAAGACATTGTCTTCCTTGAGCTCCTTGATCCAACTACATTGCTCTGGGAAGCAGGATGCAAAATTATTTGGGTTTCTTAAACAAAAAAAGTACAACTCTCAGTTTACCAAGCTTCAGTGCATGACCACCTCAGCCCAGCTCCCAAGGGCCTGTGGACTCCATGGAGATTCCCAGCTGCACTGGGGTTGGAGCTGGACTTTGGGTGGAACTCCAGCATGCCAAAGTCCAGTCTTTCATCACAACTAAAGCACATAGGCTCTGCTCAACACTCCAGGCTGTAAAGGTGTCATCACTAAACATGAACTATTAAGATCCTTAACTTATTTTATGTCACTCTTATTATTTAAACCTTGATTTGCTTTCCCAGACCATGTAACTCTGCACCTCTTTACAATCTTTGCAAATTCAGGGCTTTTTCAGATATCTCCTTCAGTCTAACTGATCCACTCCCACAAAAAATCATCCTGAACAAGAAGAGGACCTTGGAAGTTCTCATGTGAGAGAAGTTTCCACAGGAAAATACATTGATATGGACAGTACAGGAATGTGACAGATGCTTTGCAAATACCTCAAACAGCTCTTTGTGAGCTGAAGGTACAGCACAGACTGTAAAGGTCTTTAGCTCTTGGCCTGGATTCAAGACCTAAGTGAGAATCCAACACTTACTGAAACCACAAATGTGTCAAAACTGCCTTAATTTCATTTACAATCATCAAAATAGAGCCTTAGATCTTTACCTAGTTCTGTCCAAATGCTTATCCAACTGCTCAGGTTACATCCTCAGTGTTAGCTGAGTCAAGGTTGTGCTCAAGTTCACCTTTGCATGTCATGATCACAAAATTTTGAGCACAAACACAATTTCAGATTCAGCTCTGCAATATTGCCAGGGGGGAAAGGTCAAGCTTTACCCTGCACAGTCAATCTTCATGTAATCTACTATCAACAAGAGACAAGAACATGCAACACATCACTGGATCAATCCACTTCAGTCTGAAGCCCCAAATCCCACAGCAAACTAAACTCAGAGTGCAGAAAACATCACAGAATGGTTTGGTTTGGAAAGGACCTTTAGAGGTCATCTAGTCCAACCCCTTGCAATGAACTGGGACATCTTCAACTAGGTCAAGTTGCTCAGAGCCCTGTCCAACCTGTCCCTGGACACTTGCAGGGATGTAGCATTCCCCAGCTCTCTGGGCAATCTGTGCCAGAGCCTCACCTCCCTTACAGTAAAACATTTTGTGAGAAAACAGTGAGTCACATGTTTGGCTGAGAACTTATGTATCAGAACCTCAGAGAATGAAGAGCTTTTTCCTTCAGGATGAGTCAAAGGTATATAAAAGGTATATATTTGGGATAGCAACATGATTGGTTTGACAGATGCTACAGTTATGGATTACCTATGCAGCTTCGTAGGCTTTTCCATCAATTTCCATCAGTGGCTCCCACCAGGCAATGAATTAGGTGGGTCCAAGAAAAGAACTTAAGGCTTTTCCCAACATATTTAAAGCAGGAATAGCCTGATCCAAACCTACCTCACCCTTTTTCCCCTGCATAAGATTTTGCAATCCCACACACTCACTCATCTCCTGGCACAGCCCACTGCAAATGGGATTCTGGAATCTGCTCATGGGTTTCGGATACTCAAGCACAAATATTTTTGGAACAGGGAAAACCACCTAGGAATAAAGGCCCATGAAGAGGAAAGGTATTCCTGGAGAAGCTGTAATTTTCAATACATTAGTTTCAAACTGATTCCCAATTCCATTGTAAGAGATGTGCATCTAAAATGAAACAGGAATAAGAAAACGTTGAGCAATTCTCCTTTGTAGATCACTGAAAACTGTATTGCAACAACCTGCCAGAGGAATGTTTAATTTTCATTGAACAGAACATAAACCAAAGACAGAAGTGAGATTGTGCCATGTCAACAGTTTTTATACTCATAGTAAGTAGCTGCAAATGGATTTATTGGCTTATTTATTGGAAGAAATAGCATTATTGTTCTGCCAGTGTTGCCTACCCCTCTTAGCACCTTTTGGGAAAGCCAAGTTTTCTGTCTAACACTTGTCATGGCAGTTTAGCAGCACAGCTCAGGCTTTTAAGCACAACAGTGTGATTCAAATATATGAGTTTGCAAAACAAAAGTAGCTGCAAGAGGTAGGTACTACCTACTCAGGCCATTCCATATCTCCTCATCACTGCACAAGGGGTTTCCTCTCTCTTCCTCATTCCCTAGAGAGTTTGATTTTCTTTCCTAAGTTAACACCATCCAAATTTTAGCCTAACCTCTACTCTAAACTAGTATAAATAACCGTGGAATTTATGAGCGATGACAATTTATGGCATGGTGTGATAAAGATCACCTGACCACAGTTAATAAAGAGTTGGCCATGCTAAAACCCTCCCCAGGCTGAGGTCACAGTGCCCTTTCCATCACATGGGTGGGAGGTGTATGTACCCACTGCACTGCAAAGGTTACCTTAACAAGGTACAAGGAGGAACAAGGCACACAGTTCCTGGACCTGGGAAACAGAGCAGGGATTAAGGAACAAAGGGGTGAATTTAGGAACAGACCCCAATTACCCACAGCTTCCACAGCTCTGCATTATCTCCAATAAAACAGGAGAAGCTATGAACTTCCTAAATGAAACCAAACAGAAGCATGTTGCCAAGAGATTTTGAAATTCAGTTTATTTCAGAAATAAAAGACAATATAATGCACTTAGTAGATACAACCAAAATTCAAGATTAGACTTGATTACTCTGTTCCAAAACTCACTAGGACTCTACATTCCAGCAAGACATATTCACACCCAATCATGGAGCTCTTTCAGTTCTCACCTGCCTGGATCAGGGATAAATCCAGTGGAATCCCAGAACAGAGCAGGTTGTCAGTTCACGTTATTTTACTATACCTCTATCCCAGCTAATTTTTCACAACAGATTAGTAGATAAACGAGTTGGCGAAAAAATAGCATTCTACAATTAAATGGAGCAGCACTTAGTATCTCTCGTTTATCCACCTGGGAATTCACACTTAAATGCCAAACCAGGAAGAAATCCTATTCAAAATACAACTCAGACAGACCCAGAAATGCATTGAACACTGAACAATCTCCCCCAGACTGCTACGACTTGAAATTTTAATCACATTTGCCTGAACTCAGAGCTTGTAACTGAGCTCTGGAATCCTTCCCATCATCACTCCTGCTCATCTAAGTTATATCCCAACCTAACATTAGTAAGCAAAGATTAGCTTAGAATAGATACTGGGAATAAAATTTACCTCTATTCAGATTAAACTTTGTGGTTAGCTTCATTTCTAGCATAAGGAATTAGACATTCCAAAACTTTACTCAAACTACTGTATATCATTTTCCTTTGGGAAGGCCAAAAATGAAATTGAAAGGAGGTGTTAAGAAATACATAGATATAACTATTTTATTAGAAATATTGAGCAACATTACCTTTTGAACATGAACAAGGTTATCCCTATGGATAATCACAGTGTCGTTAGAGAAATTCTAGTGTGTAATTTAGCCATGAAAGTTTTACAACAAAAAAACCCAGTATTTTGATTAAATTTGTCTTTGCTTCTAGAAACAAAGATAATTTTTTTATCATGAATTGCCTTTATAAACACCCTAAGTTGTTATCAAGCAGTAAAGCAAGTGCTGAAAGGCACTAGGACGGTTAGATGTGTTACCTGGTTTCCAATACACATGAAAGCTTACAAAACACTTGTGTGTTTAAGCTGAAGTTTGCTACATTCCTTAACGAGTTAAGCAGGTTCTTGAGCAGTTGGAAGGATGCAAAATTCATGGAGCAGATCTCTGCAGCACTTCACAAGTTGGATCTCTCTTTGGCAGACATACGAGATGTGGACTGGGTGTATGTCCTAATTACATCCTAAAAACAACACAACAGAAAGACTCAGAGTGAGTTCCATTAAAGGTAGTTAGAGAACTGCAGTAAAACAGGAGTACTTGAATCAACAAGGTTGTTATTCTTTAGAGCAAGGAAAGCTTGTGGAAAGGTTTTATTACCATGACAAAGAGAGGGTTATCAGCCTGAACACATTACACATCACACACAGTTATCTTCCAGAGGCCTTACAAAACCCCAACTGAAACAAATTGCACATCATTGGTTAATCAACACTTAATTAAACATTATTAGAGTGATGTTTCCTCACTTTGTAATTGTACATGCACTGACTTCTGCCCTTGAAATCAAATAGGAATCAAGACCAATTTCTCACTTCAATGGATTTACAACAGAGGCCAAACTACTTCACAGCCAGTCTAAATTCAGCTACAAAAATCATTCCCATACCCTTTTCCCATTCTCAGCATTGTATTTGTCCAGCAGGACCTGGATACGAGCACCATAGTCAGGGTGAACGTCAGTGAAGTTCTTCACCTAAACAGGAAGATAGAACAGAAAAGGCAACAAGAATTTTTCCTCCATTTCAAACATAATGTTTACCACATTTCCTGCTCTGTGGTCTCCAAGCAGTATATATTCTAAGGAAGAAAACTCCCATCTAGTTCCAACTCCTCCATGGCAGATCTTTTAGGTCCTTTCCAACTCAAAACCATTCTGAAGTTCTATGAAAAGTAATATGCAAACTCTTTTCTACAAGTTTAGCTCTGACCAGCCAGAAAGGAGTTATGAACATAATCAAACACTGTTTCTGTTACCTCACACAGAGCTCATTCCCACTTAAAACAAAGCTGCACTGGGAAAGATAAAGATCCAATCCCTCCCTGGCCTCACTGCCTTTTCCTTGGTTAGAGCCAAACATGACACTGGCAGTCAGCTGATTTTTGAAATACCAAAGTAAACAACATCATGACATCCTTGATGTTCAGCATCAATCCCATTCTTCCTACCAGGAAAAGCTTCCTTTACCATGCTATGTGTTATTTGTGTTATATTATGTAAATAGGCACATATTTAAGTGCTCTCTATTGAGAATCAGAGAATCACTAACATTGGAAAAGACCTCTGAGATCATCAAGTCCTATGACCTAAACACCACCATGGCAGCCAGAGCATGGCATGAAGTGCCACATCCAGTCTCTCCTTAAACACCTCCAGGGATGGCGACTCCACCACCTCCCTGGGCAGTGCATTCCAGTGTCTAATCAGCCTTTCTGTGAAGAAATTCTTCCTAATGTCCAACCTGAATTTCCCCTGGCACAGCTTAAGACTATGTCTTGTCCTGTCACTTGCTAGCTGGGAGAAGAGACCAACCACAATCTCCTGTCAGGTGGTTGTAGACAGTGATAATGTCACCCCTGAGCCTCCTCTCCTCCAGGCTAACCTAACAGCCTTCTCAGAGAATTCCTGATTTCCTTTCCAAAAGCATACTGCCATTTTGACAAAGTCACTAAACTGGAAGAAAAGCTGGAATGAAGGGCAAAGAGACCACTTACAGCTCTCTTCTGAATGAAGAGCTGCGCATCCTTCAGATGATCTGCAATGTTCTTACACAGCCTCTGGCGTTCACCCTCGTTCAGCACTTTGAGGTAGAATTCCCGGACCTGAGCATTGGGGAAAAAGGGTTATTTGGAAATTCCCAAAGGAAGTCATTCTACCTGGAGCAGCCAAGAAGACTTACTTGACTTTTAGGATTCACTACGATTGGAAAGGAATAGCTTTCACTTATTAGTCAGGCAACACTTAAAATACTCTAAATACTTACACCCAAAAGACATTCTGTGAGGGTTTTTCCTTGGCAAACCTGCTAACAATTCCTAGTTCTAGCCTGAAATAACTGCTGGTCATGGAATGAATGGAAACAAATATTGCTGGATAGAGTATGGATACTCTAGTTTGCATATCTGCAGGCACTAATGGCAAGAAGTCAATTCACAGCCTCCTGATGCCCAAAATATGGATGGCAAATGTCTGGGAGAATTCAGCTGTTCAGGAAATTATGCTGTATGGAGATGTTCCAAGTGCTCATCAGAGCTGAACCTCAGGTCAGCAGATGTTTCAGACAGGAGCCAGGTGTGCATACCACTAATCATTTCTAAATCCCCCCCTAAACTCCTTGTGATAAGCAATACAAAGTCTTTCCACACATCACCTGAGTCACATTGTCTTCATTGGCACTGTTGAAGCGTTGCACATCCCCTGAAGCAAACACTCTGCTCTCCTTCAGCATGGGCTGATCTTCTGGACCAGTGAAACTATTGGGATAATAGTTTGGGGCACCACCTGGAAACAAACAACAACCCCATAAAGCCAAACCAATCAGATTGAGCTAGAAGACAATGCTCTTTGCCTACAAGAATCTAACAGCAGGAGTTGTGTCTTCCAGCCAGTACTTAACAGCGACTACAAAGAGAATTTCAATAGCTTTTTAGGGGAAAACTGATTTGTTTCAGACTTAAATGGCAAAGTCATGGTTTTACTCCAAGGCAGCATAAAATACACTGTCATTTGCATGCCTGATGTACTACTAAGCTTCCCTAAGTAGGGAGTGCATTTTAAACACAATGAACTTGCAGAACTACATAAAAATAAACTGACTACTTATTCCTGGACAAGAGTAGCTGTTCTCAAGCTCTCGTTTTTCACCCATTTCCCTCTCCTCCCTCAGCAAGTGTCAGAATTCATAGCCCAGAGGAATACATCTCCTGGCATAAGCCAGAGCTTAAGTATATCCTTGTTTACTCTGAGGTGTAAATCAGTCACTATTGGGCAAACACTGACAGAACATGAGCTGCTGAGCAGAGGTGAAGTTACAGCTCTAGTCTTGGCATTTTTACTCTTGCATTTCACAATCTCAGAAATCAGAAGGCAAAGCAGTTTCATGGACTGGACTGAGCACAGAAAAGTCACTCTAAATGTAAAAAACGCCAACAGAGATTTCTCAAAGACATTTAGACCATCTCTTATTTTTACAGTAGATTTTGCCTTGAAGTAGAAACAAAGAGGCAGTAATTAACTTCTGGGAAAATCTCTGACCTATTTCTTCATTTCAAATAAACAATAGATTAGAACCCTTTCAATTAAATCCCTTTACCAAACATGTTCCTATAAGTCCTTAAGTGAACAAACTAGGGACAGTACTGAATTCCTTTGACTGGGGATGTTCTCCTGTAAACCCCCTTTCTCTTAAAGGCCTATTTGCAAGTTTTTAACACACTTCTAGTGAAGACACCATCAACTACTTTAAACAATCGCCAAAAAAGCCAAGTGTTCAGCAAGAATCTTAAATCCCATGGGAATCAACAGGAATTCTGCAGTTCATGGATTAGGATCATTGACTACCTTGGTTGTCAGACACAGTCATTGGTCCATCCCTCTGGTAATTGGCCACACGAGCTCTGAAGGGGCAGTTCACAGGGATCTGGAGGTAGTTGGGGCCCAGACGGTGTCTGTGGGTGTCAGGATACGAAAACAGTCGACCCTAAAACATTGATCACAAACATTAACTACTACTTGCAAAAGAAATCACTTAAGCTGTACATGTCAACTCAAAGCACTACACATTAAACAGTAACAGGGATACACTTCAAACATGTTCCAAGTGACATCCAGCCACAAAGTTATTTTGCTGAAATACCCTGAGGAATGGCAGCTTGAGTTGCATTATGCAGCTTGGGTGTTTCCTACCAGTTTCAGAATGCTAAACCTACTCTGCAGCAGAAAATGGTTACACGTGGAGAGATGAAAGTCACTAAAATGGTTCTAAAAGTCACTAAGGAATAATATAATATTTTCCTACCTATTTTCACCCTTAGATTCAAAAATTGATTACACCTGAAATGTTAGTCCCTTATTTATTTACTAAACTGAACCTTCAGCAGTTTTAGTGACATCTGGATGCCAAGAGGACAAACTAATCCTGACTATTAAGTTTTGGGGAGGCAAAACAAAACAACTGCAAGAGTTTATCCAGTTAAACTCTCAAAATAGCTTTTTGTTCCCATGTATGTAATTTGAAACACCAATTTGGTTTTGATCTGAAAATTAATAACATGTAAACATCTGTGACTCTGCAGTGAGGCTGATCAAATATTTGGAGCTGTAAGAAATCCAGTACTACTAAAGAAAAGTCATGTGGTTTGTATCAGGAATTAATTCTGTGCTTTAGAGCACTGAAGTCCATTTCTCACTCCGAAGAGTTTCTAATTCTAAGATATGCTGTAAAAACAAATAAATGTGCATTGCTGCTATGGTTTCATCCATACCTGCCTGACAACTTTGGTGATTGTTTCAGATGTCCTCTAAATTCCCTGTTTTCTACTAATTTAGTTCTGTCCCATTCTCTTTATATTAAACTTTGGATGAACACATCAAATGGTGATCGTTATACAATAACCACCAAAAAAATATACAGAAATTAGTTGTTTTCACCTATAAGCTTTCCTGCTGCTACACAAGCTAAGACAGAATGTAAAAATGACATTCTTCCCAAGTCAAATCTGTGCATTGCAGTTTACCTGCAGCATTTTATCAGGGCTAGGTTCAATTCCAGGTGGCATGTTGCTAGGATCATATGCCATCTGTTCCACCTCTGCAAAGTAATTGACAGGATTCCTGTTCAAGACAAGCTTTCCCACAGGGATGAGAGGGTAGTCACCATGTGGCCAAATCTATAAGACATAAGACACACACATTAAAATCAACATTATTATAGCCTTATGCACTTAATTACCAGGCAGCATTTGCCTGATTTGAGTCTTGATTGAGAAAATATATTCCTGAATTTCAGTTTTGCTAACAAACATTGAGAAACGTTTTATTTTCAGAAGTCTTTTGCTATTACTACAGAGTATTAATGCAACTTTTATTTCATCATCCCACCCAGCATAATCTCAGCACTTGAGTACTTAAATGAAATGCCCTCGGGAGCTTGAAAACATGCCTAGAAATGCACATAGTGGGTGGAACTGGTGGCAGGATTGTTTTCAGCTACTTCAAAATGCTTAACTAGCTTAAGTAGCCTTTTCTTTGTCACCTGAGCCCGTCCTTTCAAAGCCTTTAGCCATGTGGGGAAAGCAGGTTTAGAGGCAAAAAAGACCAATCCAAGTTTATGTTAGCATCTCTCAACAAACTGTTCCTAGGAATAGCTAGCTATTGGAAGTGTGACAAAATGAGCCCAACAGAGCTCAGGGTGTGACTCTGAGCTGAAATTACACTTCTGGAGCCCAGCTGGGATCCACAGGCCTGGAATCAAGCCCTATCCATGTTTCACTGCAGAAGAGGAACATCAGACATAACACAAATCCAAGTCCATCTCCAGAATTTCTGACTCACTGGGCTATATAATAAAATAATAAAAACTAGAAGGGAAGGAGAAAAAGGACAGACTAACTTTATGGGTAAGAACTAGGTAAGAGAACAGTGCTACTCTCCATGAAACTGACACTTTCTTACAGATAAATTCAGTTCTGGCATTTGCAACATTTTGAACCCATGACCTTTCTGAAATTAGCTGAAATGGAATATTCACAGCAGCATCAGAGATACCTTAGTTAAATCAAAAGGATTAAATGGAAACTTCTCTGCTTCTTCAAAGGTCATAACTTGAATGTAGAAAGACCATGATGGATAGTCTCCCTTGGCAATGGCATTGTAAAGGTCACGGATAGCATAATCAGGGTCAGTAGAAGCCAATTTTGCTGCTTCTTCAACAGGCAGATTTTTGATGCCCTGGTCAGTCTGAAAGCAAGAGAAACAGCAGCACCAGTTACAATAAGCAGAAAATACAACAGAAATCATTAACCAGAGTGTATTTTAACAAGATGCATAATCCAACAGTGAGATTTGTCCTTGTTCCAACCTCAAGTAATTTGAGTTCAGAATAATAGGACATTCAACAGCTGGAAAATCAGTTCATTGCTAGTGATCCAATAACAACAGGCAGTGCCTAAAGAGTTCTTCAGAGTACAGTGAATGACCACTTTGTTGGCAAGAGCAATGCTGCCTGTCCCATTGGTGAAAGGCATGGAACTGCTCTTAGAAAAGGACATCACACACCTTTTGAGTCTCTGCACTAACAAGTCTTCTCTGAATTAAACTTGAAAAGCCACAGAACATTTTTATGTTTATAGGATGTACATAGGTAATCTACAGGATGTATATATAGGATGTATAGTTCCATTGGAAAAAAAGATGGATACCTTCACATGGAATTTGCAATAAACTGCTCTTCCCTCAGCATTAACCATTTTAAAGGTGTGTGATCCATATCCATTCATATGGCGATAGCCATCAGGAATTCCACGGTCACTGAACAGGAAAGACACCTAAGGAGAAGGATCAAACAATATTAATGGGCTCATCAGCTCAAGGATAAAGTCGTCATTCCAGACTAGGTTTGTTTATTGCATTCATCTGCATCACTGGAAGCTATGTTCATGTTATAAATTCCTTGAAGAATTTCTAGTTCAAGGTTTAAGAGTGTTAATGAATTCAAACTGCTTTGGCTCTGAACAAAGAACAATTGTGAATTAAACCCCTGTGAAGTTTTAGGCTCACATGAAATATTCAGTGAAGTACAAGACATTAACTGATTGGCCCTGTAAACACAGAGCAGGTAAGGATGGATAATTTCAGTTACAATTATAAAAACGATTACGCAGTCTTCTAGACAAAAGATGGAAAAGAGCTACTTAAAAACATATCTTGTCATAATAGGATTTTCTTCATTATACAATAAAGTCAAAGCTTACTTGATGCAGAGACTCAGGGCGAAGACTCCAGAAGTCCCACACCATGTCTGGATCCTTCAGGTGAGTCTGAGGGTTCCTCTTCTGGCTATGGATGAAGGATGGAAACTAATTTGTCCAGACATGGAAGAGGAAAAAGAAAAAGCAATTAGCTGGGGTATACTATGAACTCCTGGTACAAAACAAGGCAAACAGTTTTGCAACATGCTTCCCCAGGAAAGGAACAAACTGAGAGCTCAGACACTGAATAAATCTTCTATTGTCATACCTCTCCTGCAATCAAATTCATCCCCCGAGCACTAAAATTAGGGTAATGTCAAACATTTACAATTGGGATAAACAGGCTGGTGAGAGAGAAAGAATGTTTTCATTTTGTGACTGCTGAAGTGAGAGGTAAAGCTTTTCAAATTGGTCTATGTGAACATCTGACTCATAAATTAATACAGAAATACTGTAAAATATCTGCAGAAACCCTCAAGGCAACCTCCTCTACTTACAAAATGCTGTTGAATTTCTACTAAAACACTAAACCCATCAGATTAAATAAAAAAGAATTTGCAAGAAACTCTTGAAAAGTTAAGAGTGAAAAAAAACCACAGAAGTAATCAAATTCTTGAATTTGCCTGTTTGCAATAACATCTTTTCAAGTCAAAAATATTCAGGCCACATGACACAGCTCCTCAATGAAGCAAGAACAAGATGTGAAGGAACTTCTGGACTCTTCCACAAAGTCTCCTCATCTTTGGTGCTTACTCACCAGCATTGCATCCCGAATAAAGAAGATTGGGGTATTATTTCCCACCAGATCCCAGTTACCCTCTTCTGTATAGAACTTCATGGCAAAGCCTCGAGGGTCACGGACTGTATCAGCTGAGCCAGATTCTCCAGCTTGAAGAAACACATGAGCAGACAGAAGTATTAGGGTAGGAAATCCAGACAAGGCATATTTTCTCAATACTTCAGGCACTGCAAGGTTTCAGAGCATGAACAGAACACCCAAACATTCAGGCCCCGGTTAAAAGAAAGAAAAAACAAGTATATCCACTTGAACCAATTAAGAGTGGAATTTGCATTATCACTAACAGAGACATCATCAGATTATAAGGCTGAATCATCTAAACCAACATTGGTTTCTGTGCACCAAATCCCAGTGTGAAAGCTCTCATTTAAAGGGCAGCAATCTAAACAGCATGCCTCATAAAAAGGAGCTTCTCATGGAAGAGCTGTAATCCTTATAATTCCTCCTGCTTTATCCAGGATGGCATTTTCAATGGGGAACTCAGATCAGAGCAGAAGTGCCCACATAACACCTAAGCAAAAGTGTACCAGAAGTGTTCAGAGCAGCTAATGGTAAACATCATGATGAAATAAGTAGGACACTCATTCTCTCATTAAAAAGCTATGTACTGCAGAACTGTGAGGAAGAAACGTGTCCAAACAGAGCAGGAAAGGAAAAGTACTGATAAACAACCTGCTCCAGTAACAGTGCACAGATCCAGCTCAGCTCCACAGCTCCTCCCTGGGTAACACTGCAGGACCCCTGAAGTCTTGGTGACAGTGAACAGCCAACAGGCCAAACCCAGCGGTTCCCTGAGCCTTGTTGGACTAGCTTTTTCACTCTCTGATACAACTTCCAGAACTGAATCCTCACTAGGATGTCTTTTCTCAATAAAGTAGTAACATACACGTTATGAATTAAAATTTTTGTGCCAGACAAAATATCAATCATAATGTGTGTTTTAACTAACAGCATTTAAGATTGTGCTAGTTTATGCATTCAGCTCCTTAAGAAATCAGAGCTCATTTATAGAAGTGTTTATCTTTCTTTGCCCAGTACTTAGGTTACATCATTCAGCTCCAAAACATTTCTGCAGCATAAGAGATTATAGGTATTTAACTTTCAAGTGTTCAGCTGCAGTATTCAAGTGTTGATTGTGATCCAGGCAGAAACAAAACAAGCTTTTTGTTGGAAAAAAACCCAACAAACAGCTCAGGCTATTCTCCCCCTCACTGCAGACAGAAAAGTGTCTGCATAGAGCTCTGGCAGAAAGATGCAGAAGCTGCTTAAGGTCTTACAATTTAAATGAAATTCCCAGAGGAGGAATTGGTTGGCAGAAAGCATTTCAAACCACCTCAAGGGCCCTAGAGTGCAAACACAGCTATCAGGGTGACTAAGGCACACCTGGAAGAAAACATGATAATAGAAGTCTTACCCACAGTGGAGAATCGAATGGCAATTGGAGTTCTTTTCCCAATGTGCTCAAACACTTTTGCCTTACAATATTGGGTGATATCGTGAGTGACTTCAAAATAGCCAAAGGCTCCTGAAGGACAGTAATTGCAAAATATCAGATCTAGGTACCTTCCTTCCACTCTCAGCATATCTGTTATTCTACTGTGATCCAACACAACTAAGTCAAAGGGAAACATGGCAATACAAACTGTGTTTAAACAGGTATATCTACACACTAAAAACTCAATTTATTGTCACAAAACTAAACTTACTTAACACAAACTACTATTTGCACAGTGCTCACTCTCTCCTCCTTAACTGATTGTTAACAGCTCCCAGCAGCAGCACCGAAGATGCTCGTCTGCCAAGATTTGTCTATTTGTTTCAGAGCATGACAAGTATTCCTTTAATCCTTTTGGTGCACCTGTAAGCTGGGTGAAGCAACAAGATTCTTCCCACCCCCACAGAGGAACTTTTCCCATGTACATTCACGTTATAAATTCAGTAACCAAAATCAGAGGTGTCAGTTCTACCCTACTAAGATCAGTAACAAATTTTAAAATGGTTTCAGTGTTTTAAATTTAAGTATTAGCTCATCAGCTTGTTTTAGCAGACAGATACATTAGAAGACAAAGCCAAGATTCTCTATTAAATAACAGGGAAACAAACATTAAAATAGAGATGGGTAAGTCTTCCCTGCCAGAGGAATGAGGTGCTATGGAGGAACAGATAGAAGAAGCATAAATTACAGCAAATACAGTAAAAATTTCAGGGCTATAACTCCATATTCTCTCATTACATTTTAAACAATTTTTCAGTGCTTCAAGCTTTGGCACCAAGTTTTTTTAGGCCAGGCCTTACCACTGTGGTTTATATACATTTATTCTAATTGATAAGACTAAATTATAGGTAACTGCAATTTGTGTGTCATAATCTACATGTTAACTCAAAAGCTTTTAATGTTCAATTCCAGACAGAGAAACAATGGGATTTTAAACATACCTGCTCCTTTGGCATGCACAACTCTTTCAGGAATCCTCTCTCTGTCAAAATGAGCCATCTCATCAGTGAAAACAACATCTTGGACAAGCAGAGGTCCACGTGGCCCCACTGTCAGAATATTAAGCTTATCTCCTATGGGGTTCCCAGCACCAGTGGTCAAGACATCTGGTTTCTGAAAGCAGGAGACAGTCACTATCAACACCAGAAATTAAAGCCATTACATGTCACAGAACATATTAACAAGTATATAGCAAAGTGACGTAAGATTCTGGAAGTAGTTACAGAAAATAGAGATGTCTAACCACATCTCAGTACAATGTTTGGGGCTATTTAATAATGAGACTTCAAGTCATGTGTAATCCAAGAATGTTTTCCATGGTTTGGAAATATTACATGTTAAGACTATCTGTCTTGCTTCAAGGAAAGTATGGGATGGGAAGAGAGAGCTAAAGAAGGAGTAGCTGCTGGGAAGTAATGAGGGAGAAAGGAGAGAAAGAAGGAGGTAGTGTCAGTACAGGGGTGGAGGCATAAGGAGCTACAGCATAAAGGCTAAAAGGATGTATCCACAATCACTGTTGGTCTGGAAGACCTATGGAAAATAATATATGCAAGAACACCTGAGGAATCATCACTCTAGACTCCTGAACCATGCAAGGACCAAGGCTAACAAATGCTGAAGAAGCCTTACTGCCAGGAAACATCTGTCAGGACAGCAACCACAACTTTTTTTTAATGACTAACATCATTATTGTCTCTAAAGAAACTAACCAATATAGCAGTTTCCTTTTCCCCTCCCTTCCATACAAAGTTTGAGCTAAGCATTCTTGTAGGCTACTTAGAGCTACAGCATCTTATACAGCAGAAGTGACCTTGTACTTGAAAAACCTCCAAGACAACTTCCTGGAACACTTGCTGGAACTCTGTAACACTATAATGGAGTGTATTTCTACTTTCTCAAAGAAATTCCCAGTAGAAAAAGGCTTTATCTACATCACATATGGGGTCATACACTTCCCTGAGGCAACATTCCTATTTTACTGAGTACTATAGGAAACATAGTAGAGAAAGGTACATGAGCTCCAGAGACCTGACGGTCAGAGGTGTCAGTTTTTCCTGGAGTACAGTTATTGTTAGGAGCCAGGACATTGCTTGTAAGGGGTGTAGAACAGAAATTAGAGCAAAGGGGAAAAAAAAAAAAGAAAAGAAAAAAGTTTGTAACAAGGTGAGGTCAAACACCTGAGTCACAGATTATTACCAGTTAACACTAAATCCACAGTCACATGTTGCACTAAACTGATATAAATCCATGTGGGCTCTCTATCCATATCATCCTACCCAAGGCATTCACACACCTGAACCATGGGAGACACACCAGCACAAACTCACTCAGCCCCTCATCCCTAGTTCCCCTTCTTTAAAGTTCTATAAATGAAAAGAGATGGTGGAGAGAAGGAAAAAGCAACTCTTGATGAGAAAAGTTTTCACTATTCTACCAGCAACTTCACAGAGTTCAATTTTTACATGTAGAACCTAAGTTCTGCTTTAAGGAGTTTAATTACTGTAAACAGACAAAATTCTCATCTGATGGATGTTTTTCCCCCAAGAGGCAACACACAAAGGCAGGGAAAGAACAATTATCCACATCCACGCCCAGAGCTCTGGATGAGGCAGAGAACACAGAGAGTTACAGACACCTCAGCTCTGGATGAGGCAGAGAACACAGAGTTACAGACACCTTTGTTTCACTCAGGCATATGAATAACCACATAAAAGCCATCTGACAGGAAAACTGCATTCCCACTGTGCTCTTACTAATATGCAACACACACCACTGCAGCTGGCTTCAATTCCCAAAATATCCTACTTCTTTATTCTTTGTTCACCACTTCATTAGCATAAAGCTATAAGCAGAAATTCAGCTCCTTTGGGATGCCCAAAACCCTCATCTACACTGACATTTGTACATTTGCTTAAATCAAAACATTATAGTTTGTCAAGGGAAAAATGCAGGAGCAGAAACTGTACTCAGGATTCTTTTCACTGCTTTGATGCCACATACTTCCAACCTTACATTTTGCTCAGTTTTAAATGAGCCAAAGAAAACAATTTTACTGCTCACTTGGAGAAATCACCTAGCGAAACTGCATGGGATGTTCTTCCACCTCAAGTCATCCCAAGAGCTCAAAATTACATCCTAACATACTGGCCTGACATAATTTGGCACCCTTAAGTGTTTAAGCTTTCTTATGTTTCTTCAACTAGAAACTGTTGCCATTCCAAGTGAACTTTTTGAGTCAGAATTTCATACATCAAAGCAGGACACCACCATATTCCAGGAATAGTTTTGCTGATTAAAACCTTCAAGTTTCTCACAGACAAACCCAAATATATTACTTTTCCTAATCACAGATTCATTAATGGTTTTTGTATGGATGATTGAGACTCATTTCAGACTGGAGAGGTTGTTGCAGTGTGATGAAAAAGAACAGATTCTACCAGTGGCATCCCAAGTGTGCATTTTTCCTCTCCAATCTCCTTGTGTTATTATTCATTAGACATTTCCATCCTTCCCATGTGTTCTGTGCACACAGAAACTTCCACTTCCCCCTCACTCCAAGGCAGTCTCTGACACAAAAACCCTCTGACACAAAAACCCTTCAGCACCCTTTATGAATTCTGCCTGCCATAATCCTTAGAATAGAAAATTTGGGGACTAGATTCTGGTAACTCTGTTGTAACATGAGACACAGCTCTTAAGATCCCTACAGTCCATACAGTGACTTTTTAAAGCCACTAATACTTATGTTATCTTGAAGCACCAACTGAGTTTAACTCAGTCCACTGAGAAACACAGAAGTTACATGGAATTAGAGCCCTGGTCATCCCAGAGTTCTTCACAAATTCTAAGCAGGTTTAATCACATAGAACTATACTGCATATACCTACACCTATGACCTTCTCCTCTGCAAAGCTCTTGCAACAGTTTGGTAAGACAGAAGAGGGGGGAAAGAAGTGTGTTCTTAGTCTTAAGGAGACTTTTTGAGTCTTTCTGGTTCACCTATGCCTGTGTAATATCTGTTGTGTGATTACCCTAAGGGTAGAAGAAAACCTTGGCATATTAGTTGTAAGCTGTGTGTGCAACAAAGAGCAAAGGTTTGTAGAGAGGACACAGCTCTTTCTCAGCTCAACAGGCAACACTTGTCTAAAAACCACTTGGTCTATAATACTAACATTTAAGACTACCAGAAATAGTAGCTAAAACCACAACTTGTTGAAACTAAGACTATAAAAAAAATTAACAGCTTTGTGGCTGTACAGGATGTGCAGACAGAGTTTCTGACAGGTTCTCTTCTAGCTCACACTAGAAGTAAAGCCATTTATTTTTTAAATGGTAGGATATATTCACTTTAATTTCAGGAAAATGTTATGTGAGGCACACTTCCATCAGTGTGGAGAGGGAAAAAACCCCCCACCAAGCAGTTTTAAGAATTCTCTTACTACTTTTGGAGACTAGAGTTTGATGCCTGTATTTTCACATGGTTGGGAGCTGCATACAGTCCAAATCTTAAAAGATAAGCACTTTTGGATCTGCATGTTTGTTTCATTCCAGCACTAACCTTCCATGACAAAGGAGGGAAACAAGGCTAGGAGAACTGTAGTCACAGCTGTAGCTAACACCACACATCAAAGTAC